ATCCAAAAACAGATCCAGGTGGTGGTGGCTCACACCTTTAATCCCAGTGTTTGGGAGTCACACATCTTTAATCCTAACACTAGATAGAGACAGAAGCAGTATGGCTGGGCGGAGGGAGGAATATAAAGGGGAGAGGACAAGCACTGGAGTGTGGAGCCTGCGGTTTGGGGAGACACAGTGCAGTCTAGGCAGTCTGAGAATTTTCCCTTCAGTCTGAGCTTCGGTAGGGGTAATAAGGTCTCTCTAGTGGCTTATTGGTTTGCTTCTCTCATCTTCAGCTTTAATCCCTATATCAGTCTCTGGGTTTTTATTATTCTTGACATTGTGAGCCACCATGAAGGTGATGGGGATTGAACCCAGGTCCTCTGGAAGAGCAGCCGGTGCCTTTACCTCTGAGCCATCTCTCTAGTCCCCAACTCAACTTGTAAGGGAGGAGGTTTCTCAAATAAAGCACAGCTACGGCTTCTGTTGGCCCTTGAGTAATCGGCTGCAGGACTTGGGAGATGGTTAATACACCATATTTTTTCATAGAAAGTATCTGTATTGGAACAAGTGGTAAATGGACAAAGTTCTTTCAGACAGAGAAATGGTCAATGGTTCTGCTGCCTCAGCCACTCTGGTCAGATCATAGGTTGGAGGGTTCCACGCCTCAAGCAAACCGTTTCCTGAGTTCCATTGTGTCCAGGCAATACATCATATTGTTCTTAATTTAATGATCAGATAAAGAAGGATATTCTGTTTATAACAACATGGGGTAGAATCTTTATCTTTGACCTTATGGTCAATGTGCTGGAACTCCGCAACATCCCTGATCCAGACTAAGATAAAGGTGACGTCTATAAATAAAAGAGATACTAAGACTGTTTCTATTTACTCAGCTTAATTTCTTATTTAGAACCAATGGTCCTGGACTTCTTATTGTGTACCATTTATTCAAACTTGAACACAAACACAAAAATAATTTTAATATAGACTTACCTAAATGTAAAGAAGATCCTGTGATTATCTAGTTGTGTGTGTGTGTGTGTGTGTGTGTGTGTGTGTGTGTGTGTGTGTGTGTGGTGTGAGATCAGAAAACCTCACTGTTTCTGCTCGGAGGCAGTGAAATCTCATCACCTTGACTTTGGCTCCTCTGCGTCTGCCCTACTCCCCCTTCCCACCCACTCCCACTCACCAGAGGAGACTTTGAAGAGGTCCCATGGGATACATTATGGAAAGCAGAGAAGCCCAATCTCTTACTTAGAGTTAAGACTCAAAGAGCTAAAGATGACTTCATTAGACTATGGACAGACTTGTGATGAGAAATGTCAGGTAATTAAATCAGCTAGACGATCCATTGAAACCAAATGTCTGCATATAGCTAATCAATATAATCAAACTAAACTTACTCAGAGAGCTGACAGGCTGGTTCAAGAGGCATCGGTGGCTTCCTAATATTATCAAGATGCAAAAAAGGATTGGTTCTGGTGAAAGATATGTGGAAAGTAAATTTGAACTGTCTTTTCTTACCCATTGAACTTTCATAGATCACAGCCCTACAACATCTGCATCCCAGGGAAGAACTCAATGCTGATTTTATATTGCCACATAAATTTATTTGAACATGCTCTCTCTCCCCTGAACCATTAATTCACAAGATAACATATTATGTTTTTAATTCCCTTTATAATTAGTTTGCTTGTAGCCAGGATATTTAGGACATTTCTGAGACCTAAAAAAAAAAAATCCCTTCCCATTTCCAATTGTTCCACACAAAGGCATGTCCTATCCAGCGCTAGGGCAATATCTCTGATGGACACTTGAAAGCAAATTCTGTCATTTAAATGCTGCTATTACAAAACAAACAAGCAAACAGCCCACCAAACAGCAAAGCAAAACATAGTCGTCTAGGCCATCAGCGTGTGGCATGACTAGGCCGTTGAACTGTAAACATTATAAAACGCTGCTGTTGAACTTGGCTCAGTTGCTCTTTCTGACTTTACACAGTTCGAATGCTTCAAAAGACTAAATTTAATCATTCTAGGAAAAACTGTTATTACTCTGGATGCTCATATGGGCTTTTTAAAAGGCATATGATGGTGTGATGGTTAGGAGCTAAGTTGTGAGACCTGACTTGAATTTAGCTGCAGAAGTTTCTTGGTGCTCGTTCCGTGCCAGGCCGGCGCAACTGATGTCATGTGAGTTCTCTCGCGCTGGTGGTGATTGTCTCAAAACACTGCCCCTCAAATGAAAGCGTGACCTGTATTTATTAGAGATCTGTTTGGTATTCGAAGCTATGTGGTATGGTAGGATTTCTTACACTGTAAGAAACAGTACTAAGGAAACAGTACAGTCTACCATCTCCTCATCTTCTTTGACAGCTGATAAGACAAAGGCCTAAGAGATGTAGGATGCATGAAGGCTCTATGGCCTACACATTGTCCACACCGAACTCCACCTGCCCTTTCCCGTCTCTCAGTGGGGGAGAGGTTCCCAGGAGCCGTGAACCTCAGCATTGGTGCCCTTGGAGTCCGTGCCAGTCACAGCTGGTGAGCCAGGCTGAGCCAGCAAGCTAAGACATTCAGGTTGGCATGTGAACCAGGTTACCAGGATGAAGAGCAGCCTGGTCTTATGTTGGCAGCTGACTGCACAAGCGAATGGACTGATGTAGGAGCCAGAGGCTCTAACAGGCTCCTACCTGGCTTCTTTAGGAGTATCTAAAATGCAAACATTTGGTGACAGCCTGTAACCTTCGCTCCATTTGGTTCCTACAGTCTTCCTAAGAGGAAGGGAGAAAGTGGCCATTTTTTTCTTTCCTTTATTTTATATTTTATTTTATACATGATCAAATCATTTCCTCTGGGAAGAACTCGATGCTCTCAACTTCCTTGCTCATGGAGTTGAGGAAGATTTCTCGGGGCACAGTCTTAGGTGTCAGTGAGATGCTCGCAGGCATCAAGGCTTGGAGCCAACTCTTCTTTCCAAAATCAGAACTTAAAAAAAATACTTAAGAAATAAGCTCTAACACCCTCATGATTATTTAAAAGCCCTTCATAGTGCCTGCCACTCTCCAGCTTCCTTTAGTGACAATCACTCAACAACCAGACTTGACCTGACTGCTGGAGGTCAAGGGGTCCCACGTAGCGGTTCATTTTCTCACAGAAACATGGCCCGAATAAGAGTTTCAAGGTTTTTTTGTCCCAAACTTGCTTTCAAAGTTCAGTAAAACATATCTCACTTAGAATATTATTTTTAAATGCAAAAAGGAAAATACCACAGGATTCCAAAGAAACGGAACTACATTGATATATATGTATATTTATAAAAATATTTTTAAGTTTATGATATTAGGTGGATGTTTATATAAACATGCTAAATAGCAAGTCTTAAGAATTACCAAAGTATCTAAACAAGGCTGAGAATAAGCAATACTCTGACATCTACAATAACACTGTTATATAAAAAAGATCTGTGTTTTTAATTGTTTACACAGTCCTAGATACAGTTAGTAGTATTGGATACTCAAAGTTGAAGAAAATTCTACATTTTAGTTAGAATCATATAAATATATATTTTCAGCCCATTTATTTGTTTATTTGACTTTGCTCTTGACCAACTGAGATTGATACTCAAATCCATTGGTGTGGACCAAGAATTACAACTTAAAACCAGGAGGTAGTGGTGCAGACTTTTAATCCCAGCACTTGGGGGGCAGAGGCAGACAGATGCCTGTGAGTTCAAGACCAGCCTGGTCTACAGAGCAAGTTCCAGGACAGGTTCTGAAGTTACACAGAGAAAGCCTGTCTTGAAAAACCAAGAGGGGGGAAAGGAGGCTTAATTGTGCTTTGTGCAAAGCTAGGGCCTTTTGGGATGGATATTTTGGCAGGTAGTGGGAGTTTTGGGGTCTCTATAAAAGGTGTTCTTTCCCAAAACATTCCTCTGAAATCCATGTCCTCATTTTAGCATGTTCCCCACTGTAGAGCATTGTTTCCCCAAGTACAAGCCAAGCTTGTACCAGGAAGTCAACTTGAACATTTGATAAAGATGGAACAATTGCAAATAAATAAATAAGTACTCTGTGGCTTTTAGAGAGTTTAGAAGTTCAGGCTGAAGGGATATCCGCCTCCTCTTGATTCCCGGATACCTTTGGTGGCAATGGGCCCATAGACATCGCCTTCAGTCATGGGCAAGCACAAACATCCCTCGGGATGCTCAGAATAGGATAAGGCATCACCTAGCACCCCAGGAAGTAGGAACAGACACAGAGATGAGGGATAGGCTGCCTTGGGGGGGTGCTTAAAAGAAAACATTTGCCCCTAGTGCTGACTTGAAGATAGTTTTGCTACCTACAAAAAAAGTGGTAGACATTCAATCCCTTTCTTTCTTTCTCTCTTTCTCTCTCTCTCTTTCTTTCTTTTTCTTTCTTTCTTTCTTTCTTCCTTCCTTCCTCCCTCCCTCCCTCCCTCCCTCCCTCTCTCTCTCTCTCTTTCTTTCTTTCTTTCTTTCTTTCTTTCCTTCTTTCCCCTTTTAAAAACTTAGTGCTGTTCCTTCTCTCTCCCTTTAAACTATTATATTATCTTGACATTGATTTTCTTTCTAAATAATGGGTAGTACCAGGTTTTTGCATCAATGTATCCCATCCCTGTCTCACCTTACCACCCCGTACCAGGGGAAAACATCACCAGACATCCATGGTGAGACAGGAGAAGATTTAAAAATGTCATAGGGAGCAAACTCAGAGAGAGAAGAATGGATTTCTCCAGAAAATTATCTTTAACCACCAAGGCAGAGGAGGCTGAGGATGGGGTGCCAGTGGGGGGCGGGTCACTCAGTGTCTTCATGCAAGCACAGTGTTGGAATGTTTCGTCCTTATGCACATTTCTCGCGCTCACTGAGGCTGGAGCTACAATCTACTAGACATTTAGGCAGTGGCCTCACCAGTCATGTGATTCTTGAACTCAATTTGCATAATAGCAGCTACGGGGTTCTCTCTCTCTCTCCCAAGCCCTGCTCTCCTCACCCTTTGGTTAACACCCTTTAGTTAAACAAAAGGAAAGCAGGAGGCTGCACTTAAGGCTTCTTAACAGACCTCCCTCGCCTGTCCACAGGCTTGTTTTTAGTAAAATATTTGAATGACTACATTGACTACAATGGCTACAATTCCTGGCTTCTGAATTCACCAAATTTAGCTTTCCAACCATGCTTACTGGGGTAAGACAATTGAAATTTCTCGATTACTTTGGTTTTGAGATAAATCTATCTTCCCGTTATTCCTATTGCATCCTGTCTCCTAGGTCAAATCTCTGCCACTACTGCTGATGACCTTGCTGTGTCTTTGGACTTTTGATCAATTTTGTATTTGGGAGGAAGCTCTTGCGCACTGGTGGCGAACTGTCCACCAGGCTGTCAGAATGGGCGTCTGTTCTGTGTCCTGTAGGGCTTAGGATAGCAACTCTTAAATTGTTGGATTAAAAAGTGGGTTGGGGTGAGGGATGGGGAGGCAATACCTCCTTCCTTGATTTGATCTCTGAGCTAAAATGCACTATAGATAGTCTGTGTGCGCTCAGATCTAGTCGATATGCGATGTTGGCACTGTTGGTGTATGCCCAAATGCTACTTCTCAAACAGCCCTGTTTGAATCAGACTCAAATACGGTACACTCATCCAAACCTTTCCCCATCAATTTGAGAATGAGAGACAGCTGGGACTGTCGCTTTTCCCAGAAGGCTCTATTTTAAACTTAACCGACGAAAAACTACAGACTTTTGTACCTTAGCCAACATCTAAACGTGCCTCGTTTCTGATTGTCTCAAATTTCTCTGCCGTTAAACACACACACACACACACACACACACACACACACACACACACACACCCCACACTGGTCTACTCACCGAGCAATCCGTCAGTGGGTCCCTCATGTCGAAATGCCCTTTGCTTTGTCTTTTAGCTACGCTTACAGCATTCTGGACGCTGCAATCAATCAGATTGGGTGCGTTCTGGACTTCCGGGATTCAAAGGGCTTAGAGTAACGTCAGTCCTTGTCAAACACACCAAGGAGGAAGTTCCAGCCCTGGACTTTCATCCAGTTTGTTTCCTGAAAAAGCAAAGCACAGCTTGGGGTCAAAAGAGCCTCTGGGAGATGGTGAGAACCAGTTCAGCAAACACTCACAGGGCAGGAGACCGAGGCCCTGTGGTCTTGAGAAGAAGCCCAGAAGCTATGTGGTATTTCCCCTGTGATCTGGACGTCCAAACTGCTGGTGGGAGCTCACATTTTTCCAGCTTGCTGGGCCAGTCATGGCTTATAGTTTCTGTGTTTTATGCGGCTCTAACCCTTGGGAACTATACACGCTGGATAGGAGAGAAGGGAGAGCCGTAGCTGCCTTTCATTCTCCAGATGATGGGGAAAGGTTTGAGTGAGTATATAGCATCCTACTGGGATCCAGACAGGGCTGTATAATGGTTTTATCAACTTGACAGGATCTAGAATCATCTAAGAGACTAACCTCTGAGCCTACCTGCGAGGTAGTTGCTAGACTGAGTTAACTGAGGTGAAAAGACCCACCCTAAATGTGGGCAGCATCCTCCGATGAGCTGGGTCCTAGCCTTGAATAAGAATGAGTGGAACACTAGCATCAGTTCTCCGCGACCTGACTGCAGATGCAATAGGACCAACCGCCCTCAAGCTCCCGCAGCCCCACCTTCCCTGCTGTGATGGACTGGATAGTGCTTCAAACTACAGGGCCCAGATAAATCCTTCCTCCCTGCCTTTGTCAGGAATCTTGCTGCAGCATTGAGAACAGTCACTAATACAGGAGGTTAATTCCCAGTGATGACAAATCTGCCAGGAGCCCTGCCTTTGATATGTAAATTAACGACCCAGACCCCCTTCCCTGCCACACACATGCTGTACCAAACCTCTATTTCTTCTGCCCCAAGCCACTCAGAGCTAGAACAAGCCTTATAGAACTGTTAACACTGAAGTGTCCAAAAGAGATTCTTAGGAAGTAAGACATTCAGGAGTCACCTTTCCAGGCCTAATTGAACCCAGATCCCCATTCTCAGCCCAGCAGAACCAAGAGGCTAGGTGTTGGTCCGGACTCCAACTCCCAGCCTGCCAAGTGCTGATCCCTCCCAGGGTATTTAGGACGTGGTTTTGGGTTTGCCTGGGTGCCTTCCCTCTGTCTTCTCCCTGCCATGGTCCCTGGCCACCTGGGAGTCACTGTCTATTAAATTCAGGCATTTAATTTGGCTTAATCTGGTCTGATTGGATTCCTTTGCGCCGGCGGAGAGGATCTATTAGAAAATATTCCTAACATTCGGTTATCAATTTAAGCTTATGATTGGCCTCATTTTTCATTGCTCAAAAGGATGAGCAGAGCTAGAAATCTCTTATCAGTGACTTATTTTATCACTGCTTTTCTACACCTTTTCTAGTCAGCAGTCCCTAGGTCTCTAATTGCCTATGAACTTGTGATAGTCATTTGCAAGGTGTGAGTAGCTTTGCTCTGACTTGTAGGCAGGCAAGCATGGAGCCACATTTGACAGTAGTAGCTCTGCCCACAAAGTCCCCTCAAACACTTCAGGTCTCCTGGCAGCTTGTCTATGTCCGCCCAGCTGCCACACCTCCATTCATCTGCCTCTTGGGTCCAGAATCTCTAGAAGGTCCCTGTTAACAGTGTAGAAGGGAGACAGTGAAAGAGGAGAGTTTACAGGAGTCAAGAGGTGAAGTCTGAGTCAGGAGCCACCTTCACATACCATGGAAATTCCATCGGTTCAGGCATCATCACTGGGCGGCCATCATCACTGGAGATTACGGCCCTGGGTGGCTATCATCACTGGGGGTCACAGCCCTGGGCAGACATCACCACTGGAGGTCACAGCCCAGGTAGCCATCAGGATACTGGAGTTGTACGGAATATCTCAGCATGATGAAGCTGGTCAGCATTAAGAAGTTCACATTCCCATTAATGTTTTCTTTAGTTTCAGAGTTTTCATAAACTTGATGAGCCAGAGTTTCAGGTTCTGGGGCAGCTTGTTATCACCTCTGTATTCCTACTTCATTTTCCTGATTTTTTTTTAATAGAAAATAGATTTTTTATACAGTATATTTTGAGTACAATCTCCCTTCCCTCAACTCCTCTCAGATTCCCTCCACCTCCCCTTTCACCCAAATTCACACCCTTTCTTTCTCTCTCTCAGCAGAAAACAAACAGGCATCTAAAAACATAATCACAAAATAAAATAAACTAAAAACCGGAATAGGGTAAAGTATTACCAACATAAGACAGAGAACCAAAGAAAAGCAGTTATCTTGATAGTTAAGACTTGATTTTATTTATGTTTTTTCTGTATATTCTGCAGGTCCTTTGGGTATATATTATGGCTTCAGTTTTGTGTTTTTATGGAATTCCTGAGTGTGTGAACGAGTGGGTTTATGTTTCTTGTGCCTTTTCTTGGCTTTTCCTTCTGTTCCTTTGTTTTGTTCTATTTAATGTGTTAGTTTTTGCTTTATCTTATTATATTTTATTACTATACCTTAGAAGTCTGTTTCTCTTTCTTGCTTCTTTTTTCTTTTTTTTGCTTTTTTATTTTCTTTAAAATTTTTGAGGCAAGTTTTCTCTGTATAGCCATGGCTGTCCTGGAACTCACTCTGTGGACCAGCTGGTCTTAATCTCAGAGATCTGCAGGCCTCTGCCTTCAAGGAGCTGGGATTAAAGGCCTGTGTCACCACTGGGCTTCTATGGGAATGGTTCCAGGTTGCAGGGTAGGTGGTGGAGGTGGTGAGGAGTTGGGAAGAGTAGAATGAGGGAAAATCATAATCAGAACACATTATGTAAGAAAAAAAAAATCTATTGATTCATTGACAAACCCTCCCGTAAGCTGTCCTTCCCCAGGCTCTCCCTGGGCTCACTCACAAGGAGCAGGGCCTTGATGCATCTCTGCAGGGCTAGGCAGTGCCTGGTGCGGCAACTTTCCTGGGGTGCTGGGCTGGCTGTTACCTGAGACTGTATCTTATTAACCAGTAGCCCAAGCCAACAGTTCCGGGGTACATCACAAGAGCATAGAAAGTCAGTGGGAGCTCCAGGGCTTCTGAGGTGCAGCCTTGCAACTGACTGCCCAGTCACGTTAGCCACGCCTACCTGAGCAAAGCCACCAAGGAGCCCACCCAGATTCAAGGGCGGTGAACTGAAAGTCCCTTGGCGAAAGGACATAGACCCAGAGGGCGTTGGGAACTGGAACCACCTTGTCATTCAGTCTATCGCAATGTCTGGTCAATATTTGCTCCTCAGGGACTTGAGAGATAAAGGAAGAAAACACAAGAGGGAATGGCTGTACTCTATCTTCCGTCCCTTCCTGCACTCAGTGGGGTAGGCTTCCGCCAACAGCACAGATCACGCATCAGTAGATAAACAAGAGGAACACATCCTGAGGGGGGCTGCCTGTGGCTTTGGGAGAGGACTTTCCTCTCTGAACTTCACAGGCTGCTGTGGAGAGTCTGATGGGGGAGGGGGAGGGAGTGGGGGTGGGAGCAATGGAGGGCAGTGGCACCGAAGGGTTCTCTGGGGTTTCCTATCAGCTGAGCCGGAGACTGGCTGGTCAGCCTAGACAAGGAGGCCAGGTCAACCTGAGTAAGTGTGTTCTGGGACTTAGGAGGAAGCCACAAACTCTGCCTCCTAGGAATGACTAGGAGACATTGGGAGTTGGAGCATGAACCCCTGAGTCAGCAAGATGGGCAGAGAGCCATCTGGCTTTGGAGTAAATGTGAACATGATTCATTCGTAGCCCCAGCTGATGAGAGTTGTACAGATAGCGAGGCAACTCCATGGAGAAGGCCGATCACACTCTTTTTTCTGGAGAATCTAATGTCTCGGCATCATTGTGACGCTGTGCTCACTTTGGTCTCTGCCTGGATGCCTTTGACCTGGATTCATTTCCTGGCTTCTTCCCAGTTCAGGTCTTCAGTTTGACTCAAGCTTGGTGTTCCTTTTGTCTTTCTAGGCTGTGCTCAGCATCCTTGTCTACAGAAACCAAACCAAAGGACACATAGCGTAAGCTACTGTACAGGACTCTGTCTGCCACACCGTGTGTCTCATTCAAGGGAAGTTGGCTACATTTTGTACATTTAGTAAGTACTCAGCTGGGGAAAAAAAAACAACAAAAACGAAACAGGAGCCCAAATGTAGTGAAGGGTAAAGGCAATTCAAAACAGCCCTGGATTTTCCTTCCTAGCCAAAGCATGTAATACATGATGAGTGACCCGAACATTATCAATAGAGCCCTAGTTGAACACCTTATGGTAAGAGGAATTTATGTTTAGAGGGGTTACCCTGTGTCCCAGGACACCCATAAAAAGCTGAATGTGTCTGTGTGTGCCTGTAACCCCAGTGCAGAGGTATCTGAGGTAGGAGAACTGGGGAGAGGGGCTTGTCTGTGGTTAGCACAGGACCAGGCTCAGTGAGAGACTGTGCTTGAGCAGGTCACCTGAACTTTTCTTCTGGCCTCCTCCAGCACTCACAGGCTCACGCCTCCCAACCTGGACACATCCCACACACGTGTGTGCTGCACTATGCGTGCACATTTACACACAGACATACACAAAGAAAAGAATACTAACTTTTAACATAGTTATAACAATTATTGGAAGCAGATATGTATTATTTTAATTCTTACAGTACATAGGGTACCTGAGGTCTGGGACAGACAAGTGACTCACTCAAGGTTACACAGGAAGAGACTTTCTCTGGCTCCGGTGCATACAGGTTTTAGTCACTATGTCACACTACCACTTACTCTCACAACAGATACTAAGCATCCCAAAGACGAGGGCACAGTATGACCTACTTAATGTGCCGATTTGAACACAAAAACAAGTGGTATGATTCCATGATTCTGGGTTGATCTTTATATAAGGAAAATTGGTCTAGGTGAATATCCATAGAGAGATTACAGTTTATCTCTGAAGGTATTGGACTCAAAGACTCTTAACTCATTAGATCAAATACTTCTGTATAATTTAAATATTTGAAATAACTATGTGTTGCTTTAGAAACAAACAAAGCAGGCAAAAAGTTATTAGGAAGAATGACAGTAATGTTCACTCTTTTAAAGGTTTGTTTATTTGTGTGTGTGTGTGTGTGTGTGTGTGTGTGTGTGTGTGTGTGTGTATGTATCGTGTGTGAATGGAGGCCAGAGGAGAACTGGAAGGAGAGTTATTGGGAGTTGGAAGCTACCTGATGTGTCAGTGGAGACTGTTTGTTTCCTGGACACTCAGACCCGAATAATCACACCGAACTATATTAATTACAGCACTGGTTGGCCTATTAGCTCAGGCTTCTTATTAACTAACCCTTCCATCTTAAATTAACCCATTTCTATTCATCTGTGTATCACCACGGAGCTGTGACCTGCCAGTATGGGCACTGAGATCTGAACCTGGGTCCTCTGCAAGAGCAGCAAATGCTCTTAGCTACGGAGCCAGCTCCGCAACCCCTCATTTCAGCTTTTAATAAGGGAAGAAACTGTGACCTCGTGGGCCATCGCTTCACGCTTGCAGGATTTTGCAGCTGCTATTCCTTCTGCCTGAAGACCCCTCTTTATTTACGTTGGCCTGGTTGACTTTTACTTATAGAGTCCAGTGTGTGTGACTTTTTTCAGACAACACTTTGTGGTACTGGTATCCGATGCACATGCCTTCTTTGATTTATTTATCCCATTGCATTGGGTTATCGGTTTAATTGTCTCCCCACCATGCTGCAAATGAGATCTTTATATTCAAGTACCTGGAGCAAAGAAAATGCTTAGAAATAATCGCTCATATTCGATTGAATTCAGTGCTGGGAAAGTGACCCCCATAGCTGGTTCCTCTTCACTGACAAGGCAGGGGATGTCACTTGTGAGTAGGGTTGTATCCTTAGCTATCCGGAAACTGAGGAGTTCAAAACCTTGAAAGGAAAGATAAGTGTGACCTTCTAGACAGGAAGTCTAAAATGAGAAATGGCTAAATACACTTGGGAGATTCTGACACAGATTAAAATTGGCCTGGACAACTGGACAAGCAGGAAACTGAGAAACGCTCCACTGACTAGAGTCCCCAGGGATTACTTAGAGAACTTTCTTGGCGAGTTTTGCTTTTCTTTTCTTTCTAGGCTTAAAAAGTTCTAAACAAAGGAGGGAAAGAGTCTCAGGACTAAGCACGAAGCAAGGAAAGGCCTAATGTTGGGAAGACGTTTGGGAAGACTTGGGGGGAGGGTCTAAGATGAGCTGCATCCTGGAAACCTTGCCAAGAACAATTAGAATGTTTACTATATTCATCGCAGGACAAATGTACAGGAATGACCGCGAGCCTTCATCAAGGCTGCTGGCCTGTGGTCACTGATGAGTGAGTGAGTGGGCAGGAGCAGCTGGCCAGGCTGCCAGGACTCAGTGGTTGGACTGGGCAGGCCAGCTGGCTTTGAGTGGAACAACATTCCCCAAAGTGCTTTCCAGGAGAACCTAGGGCACTATAGTAGCATGCCTTGACATCTTCCCAAGACCACATAACCCTTCTAAATTCTGGGTGACACCAGCTCTTGGCCTAGTTGAGCTTCCAGAGGAGCAGGATATTCTCTGCAGCCATTAGGCACGTGTGAGAATCATGAACAGTGTGTTCTGAGCGTGACATCACTTCCCCGCATCATCCTTATAGAGCCATGTAGAAGCAATCTTATTCTGATTAAATTACCTTTTATTTTTAGCCTCCACACGAGGAAGTGATTAGTCTACTTATTTTCCACATCTCTCCAAAAACTGAGAAGTATTTCTGAAGCCTTGCCTGAATGCATACATTATAAAACAAATAAAAATTAAGAACAAAGCAGACCGAATATTTGCCCAACACTTACAAGCTTGTGAGAGAAAAACAATAATAATAACAACAAAAAACAAAAAGGAAAAACCTTCCATGCAATGAGGAAGCACAAACAAGGACTTTAGGACATAGTAGAAGCCTTGGGTTTGCATTGTATGGTTGTTGTGAAGTCAGCCTTGTTTATAACACAGAAGGCAACTGAATGTTTCTTTGTTCTGTTTCCACTGTCTGATAGCTAATCTTGGCTGTCAACTTTATACATCTGGAAGAAGGAAACCTCAATCAAAGAACTGCCTCCATCACAAACTGGCCTCTGGGCATGTCTGTGTGACATTGCATTGAACGATATTTGATGGCTGAGGGGTTAGCTCCCTCTGAGTGGTGCCATCCCTGTTTGGGCAGGTGGTCCTGTGTTGACTGAGGTTTCTGTCCTGCCTGTCTCACCAGGTCCCACAGTCATTTTGCCCCATAGAAAATCACACAGAGGTCTACATAAGTTATATAAACTGATTGTCCCATTAGCTCAGGCTTCTTATTAACTCTTATAACTTATATTAGCCCATTATTCTAGTATATGTTAGCCACATGGCTCGATACCTTTTTCAGCGGGGCAGGTCATACCTTCCTTCTTTGGTGTCTGGACAGGACTGGGGAAGAATGGACTTTCTCTTTCCCAGAATTCTCCTGTCCTCATTGCCCCACCTCTACTTCCTGTCTGGTTGTCCCACCTATACTTTCTGCCTGGCTACTGGCCAGTCGGCGTTTATTTAAAATATAATTCATAGAACATAGACAATTCCTCCACACCAGTCCTGGGTTGTCTAAGAAGGATGGCTGTGCACAAGCAGGAGAAACAAACTAGGAAGCAGCATTCCTCCATGGTTATTGCTTCAAGCTCCTGCCTCGAGTTCCGGCTGCGGCTTCCCTTTATGATGGACTGTAAAGTGTAGGCTGATATAACCATTTCCATTTCCATTCCCAAACTGCTTCGGATCAGCGTTTTAGTCATACCAATAGGAAGAAAACTAGAACACACAGTGATTTTAAAAATTGTACAAGCTAAGTTTTCCGTCTCTAACCACATCATAAGAAATCACCTTCTCTTCAACCCCGCCTTCTTTCTCCCAGCATTCAGTTTAGTTTTCTCATCTAGCTCTATTCTGCTAAGCCACTGGCAAAAACAGCTTTATTCATTAACCAATAAAAGCAATACGTATACAGAAGGATTTCTCACGGTCCTTAATTTGCTTCTCAGCAGCATTTTGAAGGTCTATGCCTCAATGGTATGGGTTTGCTCATTCACGCATTCCTGGACCTCAAAGCCCCATTTGTTTGTCTCAGGCCTAATGAAGGAGACCGAGATGCTGGTACTATAACTCCCCATTTCAAAGAACACAGTCGAAAGGAGGGGGGTATATTAATTTGCAATAGATACTAGGAGAGATCTTTCCAGGAATGTGCTGCAACTTCCAGAGACCGAAGGAGAGGGAAGGAGAGGAGAAAGACAGATTGCTGGGAAGAGACAATGGGTGTGCAGGTGCTTGGAAAACACACGCTAATAGTGTTTGCATAATAAAACATGTTTTGTTATCTCTTGAAAACTACAAATCTATTGAGAATGCCTTGGGTACACAGTTTTTCTTTTTCTTTTCTTTTTAAAAAATAACTTTATTGACTCTTGGGGATTTTTACATCATGCACCCCAATTCCATTCATCTTCTGGCTCCCCAATCCTCCCCTCATCCCTGCCATGCCTCCCATAATGAGGAAACACATCAAAGCAAGCAAACAAACAAAAGCAAAACAGAAACAGAAACAAAAACCCACAAAAGCAGAAACAAAAAACACAACAGAAAACTCTCTTTGCTTCTTCTTTCCTGCTTCTCTAACACCTCTTCGTTCGTCCTGGTGGCAAAGGAGGCTTCAGTGTGCCGTATAGCATACCTCTTTTTCCCATCAGTTTTATTGGCAAATGTCTATTGCAGGGAGCCACTGGTATGGTTCAAGGCCTCTGGTTTCTGCCAGTCCTTCTACCCAGAGCCAGGATGCCTACTGGGCCCAAGCTGCTGCCAAGAACCACGTCTGGGTCCATGGTCCAGTTACAACTGGGGTCTGTGTGGATGTCTGTGGCCTGTGTCACCTCAGGATGCCCAAGAAACCTTGTGAGATGAAATTAGAGGACCATGCTGAGCTGGCCACGTCTTCGCTAGTCCTGGTAAAGCTGACCTTGCCTCTCCTTGGGCAAGAGCTGGCCCCTGAACACTGGAGAGATGACCCCCCACCTCTCACTGCAGACCAGGGGATCCAACCCTGAGGACATGCATGTCGGGGAGCTGACTTTACCTCTGTCTGACCAGATTCGCTACTATCCGGGCCCACAGCCAGGCCTTGGGTTGACCCACCCTTTCATCTACCCCATCTAGGACCTGCCGGAGCTGTGAAGGGATTGATCCTGTGGAATGACACCCACAAGATCTCCAAAACTCGTGGTAGCCACAGGGTACAGAGTTTTCAAGGGGCCTTTGAGAAGTGGGTTGCATGCCCTTCTTCCACGCTGCAGGCTGCTGCCATCGGACCAGAAACATGTGACCAGCTCATCGTGCACGGAAACCTCTGAACCGTGAACCAAAGAAAACACCTTCAAAACAACAGCTGCGAACAAAAACCCACAACCCAAAACGACCACATTCTCATATTACAATATAGAAATTGCTGCCTCCAAATATCTGTAAACACCACTTAAAACATTAATAGAATTAAAAAACCCTTCTATTACATATTGATTACGATGATTATAGCATGACAGGCAAATTGCAAGTTCAGTACAGTTATGGGTTCTTTTTTCTGGAATAAATTGCTAATCAAATGTCTGGAATGCTCTGTTATTTTAGTATGTATTTGCTGTGAGTAAAGTTGCTCCGGAGGCAACCACAAACAGCCATCTCAAATGGAAAATTAAAATTGATACATTACGTTTTTCTTTTTCTTTTCTTTTTTTTTTTTTGTACTAATGTTCTCCATAGCAACAGAGGCCTGTTTGGTACCAAGCCTTGCATTCAGCAGTCCTGTTCCTATCATCTCTTTCTTTCTGGTAGATTTTTCCAGTTTCTGTGGCTTTTGTGCCTCTGACTGATTTAAAGATTACCAGTTGGGGGTGTCACTGTGTGTAGCTCAGGGGAAGCACACTTGCTTATCATGTGCTAGGCCTGAGTTTGATACTAAGCACACACACGTACACACGTACACACACACACATACGTACACAAATATGCATGTGTACACACAGACACACACACTCGCAAATGTGGGAGCACACACATGCACATACATACATACATATGTATGTGTACACACACACAGACACACACACACACACAGGGTGATGGGGGTGAGGCGAAGATTACTAGTTAATTACTTGATAAAATGTCTTTCAAACTGGGTGTATCTGACGATTACTCTTGGTTAGGAGACAGCTCTGCATGCTTGCCAGGAACTCCACAGAAGCAGACCTCTGGGAAGCAGCACTCTGCTGACATTGCAGCCATTCGAAGGACTCAGTGTTACAGTGCTGGTTACGGGATCCGAACGGTGCCAGTCTGGCCTCTTCACTCTTAAATCACTGGCTTAATCTTTGCAGTTAATGGATATTTTGGTAAGGTGTGCCTTGAAATTAGGCAAATACCTTGCTTTTCATCGAATTTTCAGTTAGCTTACTAATTTCTATTATTTACAGCAATACTTTTCTATTTCAGTCAGTGCATCATGAATCTATCTTGTTTCACAAAACATTATCGGTTTTGCTCAGGAGAGCCTCTTCAGGTTGGTTCCGCGTGCTAATAGCACCCGAGCCTTCCCTCAGTACCTGTTTGAGTTTTGACTCACAGGTTATTACAAACCCAGCCAGCACTGTCATAGCCCAGCTTGACTCAGCTCTTCGGGGCTAAATATTAGGGCACGAGGAAGGACATGCTGCAAGAAATGAACACGGGTTATGAAGAATGAGAGAAACTTGCTGCCCTAGTCCTAATTCTGCATGAATTTTTCATTTGGGGGGCTTGGGTAAGTGTGCAAGGATGCATGTGATGTTCAAAGTGTAAAATCCAAGGTGAAGCACCACAGCTGCAGAATGGCTAGTCTTTGCTATTTAATTGTTCATTATATGTGTGAATGCTTTGCCTGCTCAGATGTGTATGCACTATGTGCTCAGTGCCTGCAGAGGATATCAGATGTTCTGGAACTGGGGTTATGGATGCTGTGAACCTTGGTGTGGATGCTGGGAATCCAAACTGGGAATCCAAACTCTGCAAGAGCAGCAAGTGCTCCTAACGGCTGAGTCATCTCTCTAGCCTTGCAGAATGCCTGCTCTAACTGCATAGATGTTTGTGGAAACGTAGAGACTACGGGTCTGCTTAATTTGGGGGTGATGTTTACTTCATTTGCAAGTTTATTTTAAAATAATAAAGTTTAGAGTAATGAAGATGATGATGGAATGTTGATTCTTTCTGGAGGAGAATAGATTTGAGAAGTTGAATAAATATGTTGCTGAGTGGTTGGTTTATTCAGGAGGAGCTACTGAAGACTCAATGATTCCAGGGCCTAAGGTACACACACACACACACACACACACACACACACACACACACACACACACAGAGTATGTATATATGTATACACACACACACATATACAGAATACAGATAGGTTTATTTTGACATCACATTTATATATTAAAAACCATAGACAGATACCTACACTTTTAATTCAACTTTACTAAGTTCATTTACTTTACCCCTCCCTTACATGTGTAATTTTGTTTCTAAAAGTAAGAACCTCACCTCCATTAGTTTTAATACACTTCTGCATTTGATCAGCTTTCCTCTATGTAACCAGTCTTCCATTGTCCCCATTCTGACAGCCGAGCTCTGACCTCTGGTTCTAGGCTATGCAGGGACAGTCTCATTATCTGGCTTGGGCTTTCATACCTTGTGAGTGTCCCTCTCACTTGTATGGACAACCACTTCAGTTTATAGCCGGATTCTCCTTGCTATCACGTCTTACTTGGCTCCCAGTACCCGTCATTGGGCCACCATGACTCCATGACTGGTCACACACAGAAAGTGCTCTGTGCTCTGAGGTTTTCAGACGGAACAATTTAGGAAGAAATAGAATTGGGTGGAAGAGAGGAAGAGGAAAGGGAAGGTAATAACTATGGCTAGCCTCCTTAAAAGTCTTTCTTTGTGTTGCTAGAGATTGACCTCAGGGCCCTGAACATCATGCCAGGCAAATTCTATCCCTCCAGTCCCTTTATCTTCCTTATTAAATTTTCTTGGCTGCTTTGTACAGCCTCCTGTGTCCTCATATCATGGGACATTTTAGAAGCTTCTGCTCCAGTAGGCAGCACAGAGGTGACTCAGAACTTGGACGGAGTTATATACAATCACCACTTTTTAGGTAGAGCATAAGAGGACTCTTATCTTTCTATAAGTTTCATTCCCATATTATCACCATTTCATGGCTAGTTATGCACAAATAGATTGTCATTACCTTTAGTTAAATCTGTAAAAAATCAATTCACTTCCTCTCTCCCCTAAGTCACACTTTCAAAGCTCCCATGTTTGGGACTGCATCTCATCTTAAAGCATTCATCGATCCCCTGTGATATAATGGACATCATCCCCAGGATGAGGGGGATCTTGGAGTATAGAGAAGCCTTTGCCTTTAGGAGGCTTACAGTCCGGTGGGGAAGTGGCAGATAAAGCAGTCACATCTTTCCAAGTTTTAAGAGGTTGGAGGTGCAGGTAAGAACCATAGGAAGGAACAGCCAGGAAAAGCCTTCCAGGTAGATCAAAGGGCTGGAGATGTGACCGTGGCTCACTGTGGGACAGTAGGCTTGACTGACTTGTAGGAGGAGGCTATGGGGAGGGAAGAGTGATGTCCAGGTGAAGGTCAGGTGACTGTCCCCTGAGGGATCAGGAAGATGCTGAGGGATTACTTTCTCATCTCATTCCCTTTGTGGTAAACCCTTCTCTATTCATTGGATGCATGCAAACCCTACCCATTCCTCCTGGTTTTCCACTTGAAGCTTTTCCTTATCTCATCCCAAAGCAACCTCTCCCCTGAACTTTTATACCCATTTCTATCTTATAATCTCTGGGATATAATAAGAATGATGGCAAATGCTATATCCATGGAATAACTGCTATTTAAAAAAGCTATTTACTTTCATCGTTTAATTTGATCTACAAAGTAGAATAGGCAATGCTTCTGTCAGTGTTATCTTGGGCTGCTAAAATAACTGCTGTTTGTGCCTCTGTCTCCAGTTAGATTGAGGACCTCTTCAACACACCAGGGTATCTCACAGAGACCTGGTGTTCAATGCATGTAGCAACTAATTTTCTAGAGATTTGTTTGTTTTATTTTATGCATATAAGTGAACCAATATAGTCTTAGTGCTCATGAGGGGATCAGAAGAAGGCATTTGATGCCCTGGTTGGAAGCCCCCATGCTGGGGATCCAACCTGAGTCATCTTTGAGAGTAGCTCTGAACCATGGAGTCATCTTTCCAGCCCCCACATATGGTTTCTTTCTCTCCAAAACCATGTGACCTTGCTTAATACTGCTCTGGCTCCTTCCGGGATGTGTGCTGGCATGATTAGTCTCTGTAGGCTTCCAGGGGTAAGCTGAGGAAGCAGATGCATATTTTGGGGATTAGAATGATGCCTTGGGTTAAAAAAAAAATTGAGTTTAGTCCTCTGTATATGGGATTTCTTTTACTCTTTACAGTTCAAGTTGTTCTTTTAAATATCCATCCTATTCACCTGTGAATGAAAAGTCAACTACTATGAAAACAAGATAACTTGTATTACAAATGAACCAATCAAACAGAGAAACATTTCATAAAAATGTATTCAACTGTAACAATCTCTTCATGTCTTCTTACCTTCACATCTGGGCATTTATTGTAACACCTTGCTTTATTTATTGTAGCATCTAACTCTAGTTGACACCCCTCCCCCCAACGTATTCTTCAGTTGTCTTTCTACACATTAAAAAAAAATATGTTTCAATTCCCTACTCACCTGCCTGCCCAGGGAGGCCAGGGACCACCCCCATAATCCACTCTAGAACTGAATTTGTCACAACTGGCCTCCAGATTATCTGCTTTGCGGAGTCACTAGTAGTTCTGTGGGTGCTTGTAAACAAACCGAGGAAGCAGGAGACCTGAGCTGTAATCCCCGCTCCACGGCTTGATTTGCTGCGTGGCGTGGCTAACGCCTCATTTCACCCTTCACAGTCCTTGGGTACCGGTCTCACCCCCCTCCCGACAGCTACGATCCAGAACATCCAACTTCAGGTGCCCTATAAGCCTGGCCTGTTTGGGAAATCGCAGTAAAAACCGACATCCTGAGATACTGGACGTCATGAAGGTTCTCCAGAAGGGCTTCTGATGCAGTTGAGCGCACTAACGACTGCTGACTAGGAGGATTAGAGATGAAAAGTACGGGGGGGGGGGGAGGGGAGAGACTCAAAGCTCTGTAGGGAAAATGAAGGAAGTGGGTATGAGAAGAAGCTGCTGGCAAATTCAGCTGCACTGGGAACCCTGGCTTCAGAATCAGCTGCGGCCATTAAAAGCAGTGTGATGAGCCTAGATGAATGTGCTCTGAAATCGCCCAGCTCTGGGATCCAGTCGCTCTGGCTTGCTCGTTATGGGGATGCTTCTTAACTTCAAGGCACAGTGTCTGCCTGTATAGGTATTGCTGTCTGTGAGTTGGATGTTAATGAGCCAAAGACATTTTAATATTCATTAATATTATATGTTTTAACACTACATTTGTTTATCTGGTTGATAAAGTCTCACGGGACCCCGCCTCGGCATGTGTGTGTTTCCTAGGATCAATGGTTTAGTTTTTCTAAGTCTGTGTGGGTGCTAACTTTATGGAGCCTAACTAGTATCAATAACCAGACTCAATTTTTTTAGGATGGTTTACTAGAGATAGTTTACAACTAGTGGTACCTAATATCTGAAACACAGTGCACAAAAAACGAAAAAAACAAAACATGGGCTGAGTGATTTATTGTCCCTTCACCCCCCTGCCTGGGCAATGTGTGCTGCTGACCAGAGGAGGCTCATGCATGCAGCCAGCTGTCAGGGAATCCACAAACAGCAGGACTTGTCCTCTTTGGCGCCCTGACTTCTCCGGAGAGGCTCTTTGGAAATTGCTCTCATCCATCAGTTCACAGTCCGCTAGGTGCCTCTGAACTGCACAAAGGAAGGTGCTAAGAACAGTAATGATGAAGAACAGCTCGCTCCCAGGATGTCTGCGCTCCCCCTCTGCCCGCACCCAGGGTATCTGTGCTCCTCCTCTGCTGGCTTGCCTATATCTCACATTTTCCAAACCGCTTTTCTTAACAAGCTGGAGCTTTTCCTGCCTGGATCTCAGTATCCAGAAAGTCAGACTGTTCGCCTATTATGAAGATTTCTTTTTCTTGGATCTTTGGGAACGCTTTTTTTTTTTTAATATATATATCTGCCAGTGGCTATGTGCTCATCGCCCTGAATGTTATCATCACTGATGTCCACCACACGTGTGCAGACACCACTGCTACATGAGCTTTGGAGGTCTTTTCTGATCATGGCTATGATGGGAATGGTTAGCCCATGTTTTGTTTTATTTTATTGTTTTTGGTTTTACGAGACAGAGTTTCTCTGTGTAACAGCCCTGGCTGTCCTGGAACTAGCTCTGTAGACCAGGCTGGCCTTGAATTCACAGAGATCCGCCTGCCTCTGCCTCCCTAGTGCTGGGATTAAAGGTGTGTGCCACCACTGCCTGGCTGGCCCTTGTTTTATTATTAAAGGTGACAACCAACCAGACCTTGCTACTCCTAAAATCCTTTAAATGATTCCGATTCTTCTTACCCGAATCCGCCCTTCTCACAGCATGGCCTTTCCTCTCTCTATATTATTCCCTCACTCTGTTACTAGTCCAGGGGAGAAAAGGTCTTTTCATACTTGTTAGGTAAGGTGCTTTATCTACCTCAATTTATCTGGCAAATCAGCTTGCACGTCTAAAAATAATCTTTTCCTCGGTTCTTCAACTTATCCACCTACAATGACTCATGGCTTTCTCTTATATAAGCTTTATGGAATTTTAAAGTTTCAATGCGTAGGAATCATATAGTTCGTATTAATTACTTTAATAATACTGTGACAAAAATATTGTACAAGCCCTTAAAGGAGGAGGACTTTATTTTGGCTCATGGTCTCGGAGTGTTCAGAGTGTGCTTGTCTGGCACCGTAAACCTGGGAAGAACATCACGGCAGCAGAAACATCTGTGAGGTTGTTACTTCGTGGCAAAAAGGAAGCAAAGAAGGAGGAGACTGGGCACTAGGCGTAACCTTAAAAAGCTTGCTCTTAGAGAGAGTCCCTTCCTTCATCTGTATCGCACCCACCAAAACGGAAGCACTACATAGCAACCGAGCCTGAGAGGAGCATTTCATACCCAAGCCATGACTCTGAAGTTTTCATGCTTCAGTCTTTGGGGATAATCAAAAACTGCAGATGCCAAGATTTCAAGCAGCACAGTGACTGGTTCTGAGGAGCTCCAGAATTCCAGCAGGTCCTTTGTCACTGTGCCTTCTTCGAGCGTTGCTGACATTACTGCTACTCTCCTGGTTGAAGGAAGGGCAAGACTGGTAGACAGAGATCCAGGAGGCAGAAATCACATATACGCCCAGGTTTGATGTGATTGTCCTAGCAAGAAGGGGTTTGGGGAAAACTAAGTTGCATTTTGGTCACCGGAGAACATGTTCCTAGTATTGGATTAGCCTCTTTCGATCCGGAAGACTTCATAACCTCCCAATAGATGTATTTTCTTATAGTTTGTTTTTGTGTTTCAGAGAAATTTTGGTGATTGATGCCTCTAGAATAACTTAATGGATCAGATCAAAATGACCGCTACATTTCTAATATTTTGTTTTTAGTGGGGCTATTTTTGATTTTGATGTTGACCAGATGCATTTTGGTGTCACTTTGTGCCTTTTAAGATGATTTAAGCACAGATGGAAGAGCAGCGTGGGAAAGGCAGAATCTCTCAGTGGGGGTAAAGGAGGGGAAAAAGGTCCAGTGATAGGGAGCCCAGACCCCAAGAAGATGTGTTGGCCAAGATTTTCAAGGCACACGGACAGAGATGGGCAGCTTTGGGTATTAGTTATCGACGTCGCCTTCACAATCTGGAAAAAGTCAGCATCGTCTGATCTATTTAGATAGCTTTCTCTCTTAATGAGGATTCCAGAATGGAGAGTTATGTAAGATTTTACACAGATTTTTGCACCCTAAATTTTGAGATGTTTCGCACATTACACGATGCTATAACACTAGGTCTCAGTGATCACAATGGCTTGGAGAATTGTAAGAAACAGCTGAATGGCTGCGCCCCAACATAACCCAACCCAGGAATGCTTGATGTGTTCCCAGTTCAGCTGGCCGGTGCTTACAGTAAAGGACACTTTTGCAGGATGCTTAATACTTATCTTTATTATGAAAGTGTTTCCAAAGTAAAATGATCCTCATAATAACGATTACTTCCAAAGATCAAGAATGAATAATTATATTTCCATATAAAAATCAGTAAAACACGGTAACAGTACACGGAATAATTCTAACTGGCTAAGGGTACACTATTTCACTTCTGACAGAAGCTCACGTACTGAACTGTCTTCAGAAAACAAAGAGCTTCCGGCACCTACCCTGGTCCTCACTGAAAGTCAGAAAAGAGAAACACATTCCCAAATTAACCACCATCCTTTTCTATGACAGCAGACGGCCATGAAGGTAAATGAACATTGGGCAAAGGAACGAGGAAGACTGGGAGCTTAGGGGAAATCAAACAGGCGTGCGTTTTCCGCATTTATGTTAATTAACCGTTGAGCAGAAGTTCCAGAATCATCACAGAACTATTCCAGAGCTTTGTAGCTAACATTAAAAAAAAAAAAATTCTTCACAGTAAGGAGTTTTACAGACAGTTTATGGCATTCCCTGTAGGTAAAAAGGGTAGGGAATATGAATGAAATCAACTTTTTCACTGAACACAGAAACCATGAAGACCGACGCCGTACCTCGGTTCCCAGGCAGCTCACAGTACAGGAAGGCAAGCATCCATAGACCTGTGCTAAGGAAACACGGGCACACCTTTGAATGTTTTTCCTCCCAGGAAAATGGGCCCGGACACAGAAGCAGGGGTGAGAAGAGCTGCTCTAACGGTCACTGGTAAGCTGAAAGCAGAAACACACTAGCATTTGGCTTTCTCTTACCAGAGCTGCAGAAGGCTAAAGGGCGGTTAAGTGAATGAGATAAAGTGGGACCAGCTCTAGGCTAATGGAGCCCTCTCATCACTTCCCGGCAATCCTGAAAATACCCAGTCCCGTACAGATGCCATATGCCATCCGGTGGCAGAGGCCTTTTTCACTTCTTAGAGTTAGTGAGGCCTCAGTGTACCCATCTGCCAATGCATTCATTTCAAAGGCTCTGGTTAAATTCAAGTCACAAGACCATGCAAGAGGCCAAGGTCCTCCTTGGGGTGCCTACAGATTTCATTACTTATGATGATTTTTGTACTTCATTACAATTTTCTTGAGGAAAACTGGCGACCTTTGAGTACTGGTTACAGGGGTTTCAACAGCTGTAGTCAGGGCTCCTTCACATCTGCTTGGCGCCCCCTTGGGGCGGGTTGGTGCTATGTTCGCACAGGCAAACCACGGGGCTCTCCTTTGGCCCCTGGATTTGTAGAGCTAAAATGTGATTGGTAGAATACTGCTAATTAGCCTATGGCATTTGGGAAACAATTCAACTCAGCAAGGGAAGCTGATATTGGGAAGAAGAGTGTGAGGAGAATGTCTAAGAAGTCTGCGGTCATTCCTGGCAGGGACAACACACTTGAGGTCATGTGGAGTGCTCCTCATGTCTTTCCGCACAAGAACCCCAAAGAGCCACGCCATCACTTTCCTTTCAGGCTGACTTTTACCTCACTTCATCTTTTTCTCATTCGGATGCTAGAAACATTTCAGGGCCATGGTTCCTTATTTACTAAGCAGGAACAAGTCAAAGACAAGAAAGGAAGCGAGAGAGACAGCCGTAAGGCCATAGATGCCACATAAAATGTGAACACTTAGCCTTTTATTCCCAAAGGTGTTGAAACCTCTCTGGATATGATGTCGTCTCCCAGACTGATCAATGGACCTATCGATACCTTTGGAGTAATTCTGTATAATTTTTACACTTCAAATTAAGAAAAATACTCAACTATCTGGGCAACTTTGTCATTAATTTCCACCCAAATGATTACTAATACAAGATGAATGGGTGGGAGACAATCAAGGGTGCCATCCATTTTCTCAGAACTTGTCAGCAAAGACATAGGCAAACTACAATGAAGTCATTTTTAACAGGCAGACTACAGCACAGTGTCATGCTAACTTATCCCAAATAACAATGAGATTTAAATGCAAGATGGAAGACTCAGAGCCCTTCTCTCTAAGACGCAGGAAGGCAATCAGTTTGCTCAAACTCACACTCTACCAAGTATAGTCACATGCCCCTTAACAGGGACACGTTCTGAGAAGTGTGTCCTTAACTGATTTTGTCATTCTGTGAACGTCGCTGAGTGTACTTACATACAAGCAGACAGCATGGCCTCTCAGTGTCTTATCTTTTGGGACCATGGTAGCACATGCTGCCCATCCTTGAGCCCAGTGCTGTGTCTGAGTACATGGCTGTGTTCAGATGGAAAGTTGACACTGTGAGACTCACCCATCATAGGGACTGAAGAGCTGACCTAGCTTTGCTTGCTCCCTGCCTCTCGTCTACCTTATTCATCTCTGTTAGTTGCCAGCAGCACAATCAGAGGGGGATGGGGGACATCCTTGGTCTGGAAGTTCAGCAGCTTTAGAACCCTGGGGTTAAATGGCAATGATCTGTGTTTTTACAACAAACACTCGACCGACCCACAATACTGATACTTGTGGCTGCTCCTCTCCTCTCGACATCCACAGGACTGGATTGGGGACAGAGAGCTGGGCTTGGCGTCTGTGAGACAGCAGGTGCTGTAGGACCTGGGTTCTGTCTCGAGGAGCTCTGTGGACAAGAGGCTGAAAGGGTTTTGCTACTCTCAGCAGGTGGGAAGCAAAACAAAGGAGAAGGGAAGCTTCTAGAGTACATGTGAAGGGATTTTTTTTTAATGAAAAGAATATGGGTAAAGATGAATCAGTAATAACTTGGTTTTACTGGTTTTTGGAGAAACGTACATATACATACATAAACCACACACAGCATTTATTGACTCAAGGCCAAATTCTACTTGATTTCCCACGTTCCCCCCACTAAATCTAGGTAAGCTATAACATTGGAGATCAAAAGTCACATTTTCTAGAGTCCCTCCTACACACACCTTGGTACCCTGGGAAATCTGAATGCAACCAGAAGGGGACATCACCACAGGCTAAGCTAATTAAGAAGAACACCACTCAGAACTAACCTATAGCTGGATTTACAAATCACACTTCTGAAAGCTATGGCCTGGCACAGGTGGACAAGAGTCCTTACACAGTGCCCGTTCTCAGTCTTATCTGGTCATGAAGGGAGGACAGGAAGCAGAGAAAATAATATTCTATTCCGGGAAAAGCCTACAAACTCCACTTTGATTCACCGAACAGAATTATTTTCTCAAGAATGAAAACGAAACAAAAATTTGTAGACACACAGAAGAACGAGTCAAGCTAATGGGATCAGAAAACACGTCCCCAGCCTAGTAGGTTTAGAACTGCCTTTGACACGGGCAGAATAACTTCATTGTACATACCTCCTCTGAATTGACAAACTGACCTTAAAATTCTTCTGTGCAAAATAGGGTCACCTGGTTCAAATTCAAATACACGGGGGCCCTCCAGCTCATCTCAGCCCTGGGAGGATGTGCCCAGATCTTAAAGCAAGGTGGGCATGCTCCCTAGCTAAGGTGATGAGAAAGGCTCACCCTTCAACACTGCTAATGTTTTTCACCCATTTGCATTGGAGCAAATGCTCTGATTACTAACAATACCTTTGGTGTCTTATCACTGATCTCATAAACGCAAACACTTCCAAGTTTCACTCTCAGACATATACCTGTTTTGGCGAATAAATCAGCCAGGCTCAAAACGCACAATCGGTTGCACTGTCTTCTACAGCAACATGCTTCCCAAGCTTTTAAAATGATGATCTGGACCATACCAGAAAATACTGTTTTGTAATTGAGTGGGGGAAAGATCTAGCATTGCAGTGAGAGTTCTTCGGGAATTTTCTCTTACCTAGTCACTCACAGGTTTCAGAGTAAGGGTATAAAGATTTAATATAAACAAACATCAAGTGAACTATGGGTGGCTCTGGGCAGGACAATGATAGGCCCTGCAGCATTTTGCTTTTGGCTACTCAGTGCCCTTATTTTTTGGACTCCTGCTTTAGGTGATGCTTGACTTAGGAGTATTTGTATTACCGTTTGACTCCCTCTTTACTAAAGACGAGATGAGAGAAAAATCCTTGGCTCATCCGTGGGGTTTTCGAAGCCACATGCCAATGACAGTGGCCTGGGCGGGGGCGGGGGGCGAGGGGGAGCGTGCATGAACTACTCTTTGGTAACTTCCCTCATGGCTGTCACTGCCATTGTCTAGGAGAATTTTTGCCGTTTTTCTGGAAATAGCTCCACTTGAATAAAAATTCTTAGGAGCCCCCATGAGTCTTCAAAGAGGTAAATAAAACAGCCTTGCAGTGCAAGCCTGATGCTTTAAGCAACAAGAAAGTCATTGTGGGATGCATTTAAGGAGGAAGGCAAAGGGTAAAGGTCTTTCTCCCACAAGTCTAACACTAGGGAGGGCTTTCTCTTGAGAGCTGGCGGTGGTAAGGCGCTTTGCACAGAAGGTAGCTTTGCCAACTCTTAAAAGACTCATTCTCTTTTTCTGCCTCAAAACATTCTTGGCTTCTATTTTTTTTTTTCAGGGCAAGACAGAAGACTGGGCTAATACAGTAGGAATTCTGGAAAAGACCTGGTTGAAGTCAGTTGCTATCCTTATGTGATTCCCAGAACACAGAGCAAGTCCCCAGTATGTGGGTCCCTTTGTGTCTGTGAGCTGAAGCAAGTGACATTGTCTCAGAATCAGAACACTGGCCTCACTGGAGAGCAAAATAACTTGGTTACCCACAAGGTCAACTCCCGGCCATCTACCACACTAAAGAAATCACATATTGGTACGCAAGAGACAAACTATCCCAAAGCAATTTCATATAAAATTCCAAAGTCCCCTAAGAGCTATCTTCTTTCATTTGAACTGCTAATTGACCACAGGGAGTGATAACTAAAACACTGAGTTCGTCCTGTGTAGACTCCCACGGGACAACAGTCACTGACTATATATGGGCAATTACAAAATGGGTGCAGAACAGAAAGAAAGCCAACCTACTGGGAGCTGTGTGGGGACCTTGCACAGGGTTTGACTTGCTCTAAACGAGGAAGTAAGCTGTGCTGATGCTCACAGCACGCGGGGCTACAGCATGAGAAGCAGGTAGAACGGATGGAGCATCTCCTTCACGGCCCGTCACGAGCCCAGAGGAAAAGGGGTGAGGGGGTCCTCGACTGTCCACAGGTTTACAAACAAATAAAAAAATAAATAACATTCTAAGACAAATGCAAATATTGTTCCCTTGTGTCAGTTACATACAGCATGCCTACAGAGAATGGGATTTCTTCTTCATTCACAGACAGGACACATGGCAGTACACTATTCAGAATGCTTTGAGAATCCTAATTTTTTTTTTTTGTCTCTGGTGATGAGATATCAGGAAAGGAACTGCATTTGCAACTTATTAAATACTTCCAGGAACAAACAGTTCACTTTGTTGAGGACGTATAGTTTTGGGTAGTTAATCATCCATGGAGCATGGACCAGTCAGGAGATACCCGTTGGTACCACTGGTTCCGTTGGTGGTTGTCGAAGTGTGCGGTTTCTTCCCTGGACGCTCTGAGTCCTCATCATCCGAGCTGGATTCAATATCACTCCGGTCATCCTTGGATACCTGCGGAACACAAGAGCGGGAGTGAAACCAGCTCCACGGACCGAGGACCGGCAGGGTAGCGCATGCCCCACAGCTCATGCAACCTCCCAGGAGGATGAACTTAATCACATGTTACAAACAACAAAAAGGGGGACACTCTGCCATGATAGTGTGTGCTCTTCCCCGGAGGGATTTAATGTGTGTGACACAGCAGGTTGTGAAGGATGTAAGTGGATTTAGACACCACAGAGCCTGTATCCTCCACCATGAAGAATGTCTAGACCATGAATCCCATTCTTACCCATAGTGATAGCGGTATCTGTACTACTAGAATGTCGCTTTAGGAACAGGGTACAAATGAGTCAATTTATCCACTGATAACCATATTCTCCTTGACAATTACTTAAGGTTAACTCTCAATTACCATGATAACAGAGTTATACACACAATCGCTCAAATCATTAAAAGCAAATCATTGCTGTCTGGCACCGTAATTCATTGTTTTATATTTAATTTCCCTTTCTTCTTTGCTAAAATGACTTTGAAATTTGTTTCAGATGTGACATAATAACAAATGTCACCAGATGACATTCTAAAGACTCTCTAGACGAGATAGGGTCTCAGCTTTTGCCAGGAAGAAATCTATTGGCCAGAGCCTCAAAAATTCTTTATTATATGCCAGTTTCTTCAATTTTCCACTCAGTTTCATTAAGTAATGAGGACAGGAAAATAAGACACATGTCTATATGTTAACATGACGTGTGAGAAAACTCCTACTATGTATGGAATATGGTTATTAGTGAATAAATAGACTCATTTGTATCCAATTCCTAAAGCAACATTCTAGTAGCATAGACACCATTATCACTATGTAGCAAGGAAACACTATATTGATTTTAAAACAAATAATTGGAATCCCCTTCTCTGCAGGTCTACATTTTAGCCAGCATGGAAATCTAGAGGGTCTTAAGATCTGTAAGCAAGTGTACCGTTTACTTAATTAGTCAATTTTTATTTCAATACCCCACCTCATTGTGTAGCCCAGACTTTGTAGCAATTCTACTTTAGCCTCCTGGGTGCTGGGATTCTAGGTATCCACCCACACACTCAGCTTCCTTCACATGATTGAGCTGGAAGGCCAGAGAATCCTGTTGGCCTGGCTTCATGGGAATCTTCCCAGCTTGGTTTCCAGTGACTCCCTGGGGGGCTGGATGGACAGACTCTCAGAGCCTCTGGAAGATGTCTTAGAATTCCTGGGGGACTTTCATATCGGATCCTCTCCTCACCACCGTCAACCCGAGAGCTGTGGAGTCTACTACCCGGAAGCCATGAGGGAGTGAGGACGTCATCACTGGTAGGCCGGGAGAAAGCAAAAGCTGAGAACTATCATTCCGTTCCAACCAGGGGTGGGCTGAACAGCGTACACACATGATCCTCAGATCAGAGCCCTCTGAGGCGAGACTGAGCTCACAGAGACAGTCTCACCCCGAAACAGAACAACAACAAACTTAGGCACTGAGGCCACCAATGACTGGGGGGCTGAGAACATTTCAACTTAAAAGGCACGAACCATAGTCAGTACTGCAGCAAAGCGCCACCATATCAAGTCTATTAGTACCGGATCAAGGAGTGAATAGAGGGCTCTAGATGCAGACAGTATTCATTTGCCTGCCTAGTAAGGTTATTTTAAATTCCATTTGGAAAAAATCCACAGTTATGATACTGTCGAAGAAAAAGGACAATTTAGAATGTCTAAAAATAACCCACAGGAAGAGCCCACGGACAGGGGCAGTCTCACTGCGTTAGGTGAGAGCAGGAACGGCAGGGAGAAAACCCTGAAGCCAACGCTGCGGAACGTAATTAGTGATGATTTCTTCGTGGAGATGAAGGACTAGCAGCTAGAGGGGAGAGGGCGGGGCTGGTGGGAACGGCGATGCTCTAAGGAGACAAATAATCTAATCTAGCGCACCCGTCACCTTTAGTTATTATCATATTCCCAGTGCTATGCACGGGGATTTAATTTGTGTCCAAATGAGGACCAGAAAAATTTCAAAAGCAACATGAGTTCATTCTAAAGAATAAGCCACAAGAGAAAGAAAAAAAAAAATGAACTTTCTCTCCTAAGAACTTAGCCGATCAAAATAGTTTAGATCATGACAAATTGCCCGGATGTCTCCCGAGGAGGGTGCCGATTCTGTGGACCTCCCTCACTGAGGACAAAGGGTCAAATGCTACTCTGTTTTCTGAAGATCGGGACACCTGTAGCTCAGGTCTCCTTTCCGTACCACATGGATAAGCTGGTTCTGTTTCTCCCACTTCACAGGTTCTGTTTCTCCCACTTCACACTGTTTTAGTCTCTTAGCCAACATGTTAGGCACCAGTAGAAAAAAATCTCCCCCTTCCTGTGGGGACCAGCAGGATTTTACACGCTCACACAAAGGGGCAATGACAGAACTCCCCCGGTATCTTTTGTAGTTCGCGGAAACTATGGCTGCCACGAAGCTTCCAAGAGTGCCAGCTGGTTAGATGGAAGAACAAGCATGGAACGAAGCCCGTAAGCACCCCTCCAGCAGGCAAGTGTCACCCAGGACAGTAAGAGAGAAGACAAGAAACTTACATGTAAAGGGTTCCACTTCCCAGCCTTCCAGGGTGGCAGGAGGAAGAGAACAAAACATGAAATAAGAAAACATCATGGACAACGATCTGGAAGCGTTGCTGCTCTAGGCAAAGGGGCTGGCTCTCAGGAAGACTTATTTAAGTCAGCCCCATGGTTCCATTTTAAAACAGAGACGAGTCAATTTTGTTGGAGAAGTCATGAATGTATTTATTCTTCCACTGGAGAGAAAGGTCTACTTAAAAATGTGCACGTGACATTAAGCAATCCTTTCACGAAAACAAATACATTATTAAATTAAATTTCTGTTCACGGTAAATAACCAGAGAAAGTCCAAGGTGGAGAGAGGGGGAAAAAAAAGCAAAACAGATAGTACGTCGTCATTAAACCTAAAATTGTAAATTCTGGGTTTCAGCAACCACAAAGCAACAGAGAAACTTTAGAAATGAACCAAATGGGAAGAAAATAATTTGGTTTGTGTTTCAAGGTGGTTTTTGGAAGGAATAACACTGATTTCAGTGAAATCAGAAATACGTGATTTCAAAGGAGCCAAAAATACCCTGACATTTCTGGGACATCTCGAAGAGAGTGAGTTTAGCTTACCTTGCCTTTAGAAACAGCTTTGCAGGCTATTTTTACAATCAAGTAAGACCAGAAGCAGTTCAGCCCTTGTAGTAGCAACAGCAGCAGGTTAAAAACCCACCAGGAAGGGAAGGGTCCGACGATCTCCCAACTTTCAAACAACGTGGTGTTTAACACCCTGAGGAGGAGAAGAAGGCCATTACTGAACACAGCATGTCACTCTGTTCTAAAGGAGCCCTAGCAGTTTCCAGGGAGCGCAGGTCAACAGTCTCCCCCAGCGGCCCCCTCCCTTCCTGTGCAGACAGCTTGGGAGTTACCAGGTACTGAGGAGCCACCCCTTGCAACCGTGCCCTGATAGTGTGAACTGCAGCGATTCTGTCAGTGCAGAACAACTCCACTGGCGTTGTGCAATTCCACACACCTCTGTAAACCACCACCGCCCACTCCCAGAACACTTGAAAAATGGAGTAGCTCTCTACCCTCTGTCCCAAGCAACTTCTATTTTCTGCCTCTATGAACTGTTTGTGGAATCATGAAGAAAGGGTGATTGGTTCCTTCTACCAGCCCTAAGGTTTATTCATTTTGCAACAAGCATGAGGATTTCTTTCCTAGTGAAGTGTATGTACATACCATGCTTTGTTTCTATATCAGCAGACACCTGGCTTGCTTCCATCCTTTGGCTATTATAAATATTGCTTCTAAGAGTTAAGGCTCTGGGCTGGAGAAATGGCTCAGAGGTTAAGAGCACTGGCTGCTCTTCTAGAGGTCCTGAGTTCAATTCCCAGCAACCACATGGTGACTCACAACCATCTGTAATGAGATCTGGTGCCATCTTCTGCTCTGTTGCCATACATGTAGGCAGAACATCTTTGCACACGCGTGTGTGTGTGTGTGTGTGTGTGTGTGTGTGTGTAGTATAAGAAATCTTAAAATAAAAGTTTGGGCTCAAACAAGTATCTGTTCTAGCACAGACCTTTTGGCTCTACACATAGAAGCAAAAGCCTTGACTTCTCCTTCCCTTCCTTTCACGCATTGTTTCCTCTATGAATTTCATTCATCATTTGGATTTACTTCTCTCGCTAACAACTAATTTAAAAGGCCCACATTGTCTTCAAGTTGTTTTTTCTTTCTTTCTATAGTGTGAGAAACACCACCCAATATTATATAGCAAGAAAGAAATAGGGTGAACTCTTAAACGTTAGCTCGGTGCGGAGCTCCGGATGCACACAGCAGCAATTAGAATATGCATGAGAGCCAGTCAGGCTTGCGTCTGCTTGGGGCTCCATTAGAGGGTTCTTAATTTTCTAATTCTTCCCCTGGGAAAAAAATGACAATTGAAAGACATCATTTGGAAGTGATACCCTGATATGAGTATTTGACAGATTTGTTTTTAACAAAAAATAAGAGGGTATAATAAATGTATTTAGTTTTAACAGTGCCTTGGAGTACGTACTTGATAAAAAAGAGCAATTGGTTCTATAATTTGCCACAAGACCCAGCAGGGGGCAACCGCGAGGGACAGATGCATGAAGCCTGGTTACAGGGCTCTGCTGTGATTGTTCTGGGATGCTCTCTAGTCCTTGGAGAAGGACTTGCCTTCCGACCCCTGGCGCGTCACAGAGTCACATGACACTCCCTTTCCCACGTGACTTTGGGATCACTCCTACTTCCCTCCCCTCAGTTGTCTCCAGGCTCCACGGTCCAACCACAACCGCAGCACTGTGCTTGGGACCAATCAGACTGTAGGGGTGGGGCCGTATGCGCAGGTCCCAAGAGGCTAAGTGGGGGAACTGCTCTTGGATGTAAGGTAGGAGCCACTCACATGAGATCAGAAGGAAAATACAGAGGGAATTTAAACAAACAGCATAATAAGAGTTTTCAGAGAGGTTAAAACACACCCTTTAACAAAGGATATTTACTGTCACAAGTGGCACAAGAGTTCAAGGGAAAACAATGCAAAATAGACCCAAGGATGCTCCCCACCAAGGGTGCTCCCCACCGAGGATGTTCCCCACCGAGGGTGCTCCCCACCGAGGGTGCTCCCGACCTTGAGTTTCTGTTCAAATTCAACGACACCTAGCGCTGGGGTGGATAGGGTATATGTCAAGAAGCAGAGCGAGCTTTCTAGTCAAAGTATTGGTATTACCCAGACATCGCTCGTGCTTGTTTAACCTGGTTGCTAGATAAACCAACCCAAGAGTCACTAGGCAGACCTCTGGCAAACATGTTAATGCCAGGCGTTCTGAACACAGCTGGAAATAGCAAATGTGAGGTGTGTGGATCCCTCCCCCACGGCTGAGGCACTGAGTCTTCTTTAGACCCAATGGTCCCTCGTCTGCAAAGTCACCTTTCAAGAGACCAGGGCCACTTACCACAAACACGGCAGCAATATAGATGTTATTTCAACGCACCTTTCCTTAGAATTAACTAGCATTTCTAAAAAGTATTCATCCTAATTTCAGAAGAATAGAAGAATGTAAAGAAAATATAAAATTTTGTGATTCACCAAAGGACATCCTATGAGGTTTAATATTCTCCTTCCCTTCTCTCTCTCCCTCCCTGTGCCCCCCATGATTATTTTTTCTTCCATCATTAAAAATTCCTGAAATATGTTACAGGGCCAGGGAAGTAACTTAGTCGTAGTTACATGGTTACTCACTCAAAGTGTGAGAGAGAGACCTAAATACAAAAAAAAAAGAAAAAGAATAGAAATAGAAACACACTTCTTTGATTTACTTTATAATTTCTGAAATAGAGATAAAAATAATTTGTTAGCTATTTTTCATCAGATGATATTTTCATTGTTTGCTATTTTAAAAATACTTATAGATTGGTACATAAAAATATCTGAAATAGAAATATTTCATTTCTTGACATAGTTAATGATCAGAACTCCTAAAAATAAAGCTAAGGCGAACTCCCACAGTGTGTTCCTCATTTTAAAGGAAGTAGCTGTTGTTTATTAAAATGCTCATAGAAGAGCATTAAAATTATAATAAGTTCATTTTTAAAACCCAGCAATGGAGAATTGGACATTATCAAATGTCTTCGGTGCCATGGAAATAATTAGGCTTATGCCTACTTGGACTATTGATGTGATGCATTATTTTAATAGATTTCCTGATATCCATTCCAGTGTTAATACATCAGTATACATAAAGTATAATCCTACTTAGAGTGAGTTATTAAATTCAATCTCATACTACTGTTCTGAGGATCTTTGCATATACGTTTACTCTAAATTGTTTTGGGGAGATAATTAGTATGGCGAGACTGAAGACAGAACATGAGACACACTGCAGTCCTGAATGAGCTGTTGAAACCAGGAGTGTATGCATAGGGTACAGACACGCCCACACTAAGTTTCCTTGAGTTTGGACAGAAAGAGGATCTGCACCAGCAGCCACATCAACAGCGTCATCCTGCACGGCATGAAGTGGGATCTAACCGGCCGCAGGTTGGGAGCCTGTCTCACCAAGGCCGCACATGGCTTAATTTGAGCAGCGGCTGGTGACATAGCCCTCACATTCATTTCAGACGCGACAGTCGTTGATGTTTCAGAGGTGACACTCCAAAAAAACGCGATTTCTTCGAAAGCTGGCTTGGCGGCTTGCAGAGGCACTTGGGAGAACACAACCGGCAGACAGCTCCACGGGAGCTTAGTAAGGAAAGCCACCGGAGACAGCTAACATTGACACCTGGACCCTGAGAAACAGCCAACTTAGACTGCCCTGAGCAAACTGCCCCTCTTTTGGACAAGCTATTAAAATGGCGATGACAGGACCTTATTTTTTCTGAAAGGTTAGGCCCAGAAAGATGTACTGTGTGGTGCCATTATAAACCCACGGTGACAGATTCCAGAAGAGCAGCCGCCTCTCCTCTCAGCGTGGACTGGTCAGGGCAGGGGAAGAGGGAGGCTGATGCGGTACCGGAAACATTCACGTCCTCATCTGGGTAGTGGTCGCATGGGTTATCAATACATAAAATGTATGCATGTGCACACGGGGTAAGCTGTGTCCTGGAGGTCTGTGCACTATGCTGTAGATGTGAATCCTATTCCTAAAATGTGGAACGGGAGAGAGTTCTCTGTGTCAAACAAAACACATATGAACATTATAAGCTTGCAATTTTTGGCTTATGTAACTATTGTGGTGGTATCAGTGTGCCCTCCCTGCCCCAAGTCTCTGTTCAATGTATAAATTCTGGGAAAACAGTGTTTTCCTTTCCCAAATAATAGATTTTTGCCAAATAAGAGCAAATCTCTGCTGCTAACTAACAAGGGGCAGGAATATGGGGTAACAAAGGTCGGGCACAGGGCTTTGCATTTTATTTTTCATTAAGATTATGCTTGCTTAACCACTAGATGGCACATCATGCGCACTCAAAGCATGCTCACATGGAATTATTCCGCCAAACTCGGCACAGACAACACTTAATCCCTAGGTGACATCCTTCCTTCTGAAAACCTCATCAATCAAATGGGACGGTGGGGTTCCTGTGTAAGCCCCTTTCTTACCACATAGGTCTGCCTGAAGATGCCTTCAGGGAGCACACGTAATTCCTGAGGTGAGCAGATAAATTGTTGAACAGAGATTGGCTGGGTTGTGTTACTTTAACAGATGTTAATGGATCATAAGAACACATTTTCTTTGCCCTATTGTGATTTCTACTCTATTTTTACCTCTTATAGATGCTTTATCTTAAATTTGACTTTGATAGAAACATATAGAATGTGGTGGCTTAGTGCATATATCCCTGGAGAAGAGTTTATAATGTTTTGTTGTTGATCAAAGAATCCACAGAACAATCTCGTTTTAACAAAACACTTACAGCTGTTTTCATTAGCATCTAGAATACCAATACAGCTTAAAGCAGCCTGCTTGCCTGCCTGCCTTCCTTCCTTCCTTCCTTCCTTCCTTCCTGATTCTGGAGAACTCAGAGAAATTGCCACAGACATCTCTTTTAGCAGAGCCACCTCCAATATAGGAATGAAATGTATATATATTTCATTCAGATAGTGGCTCACAAGTGTGAATTTAAGCTTTCTCTCTTATTACATATAGATAGGTAAAGGCTTACATGTCCAGAGCTATCCATCATGTTCAGGGACTCCACTGAAGGGAGGGTAGGAACACGCAATGGTAATTGAGAGAGTAATTGAGAGAGTAAAGACAGCCC